AATGGGCATTTGGAGCATGTGGGAGTTTTAACAAATCCTGGGATCACAGATCCCTGGGAGGCAGATTGAATCCCACTATTTGTAGATCATGCCCGGTCACTGCCAAGAGGTGAGTCCATTCAGCAGGAGTGGCCTGTCACCCCCAGGACGGGTCATCTGCATAGGGCAAGGGGGCCTCGGGCCCCCCGGGACATGCTTCCATAGACTGCCTGCAGGAACCGGGTTTCTGGGTCACTGGCCCCCATGCAGCAGTGCCTGTGGGTTTCTAAGTGGTCAGGGGAGCTGGATAATGGCTTTGAAGTGACAGTCCCTTGTCAGAGTGATGCAAAGCGGTCTCCATTCATCTGTTGGTCTTTCTGGGAAAGCTGCTGACAAGGCCAAAGTGTTAGTGGTTATTTGTAACAGAAAAGTTAGACGGGCTTCACTCTACCGCCTGCTGCCCTGGGTTCCAGCCCTTTCTGCAGACCTGCATGTGGTCTCTTTGGGGAGGCTTACTCAGGAAAGGAACAGAAGGTGGCCAGACACCCCCTGGTCCTTGAAATTGTCTGGGCTTCGTTTCTGGGGTGGAGTCCCAGAGCTCCTGGTGGGAGGCGGAGGCAGCCCTGCCCGTCCCCGTGGTTTGTACCCATGTCCACCATGTGCAGCTTGGATAAGCAAATCCCCTCCCTGTCTAAACTCTGGATGTCTTGATTACTATGACTGAGAGCCTCATATGCCAGCCCTCTGCATTGTATGTATTTTTTCTCCCATCCTCAGCACAACTTAGTAAAGTAGGTCTTTGGGTTGTCTAAGGCCACGTAGCCGACCACCCCAAACCTGATGACTTCAAAAGGCAACCATGTATTCCCATGATTCTGTGGGCTGATTGGGCAGTTCTTCAGCTCCATGTGACTGCATTTAGCAGGAGGCTTAGCTGGGGTGCCTCAGTTTTCCTGCGGTAACCTTGCTCTGGCCCTCCAGGGCTTCTCCCCGTGGCCTTTCTCTCCAGTAGAATAGGCCAGCAACTGGGCTCCCAGAGGGAGGGTTCTGAGAAACCAAGCCCCCAGGCTATGAGCACTCATAAAGGTGCTGCTTGCAACATCTCCTGTTGGCCCAAGCAAGGCACCCAGCCAAGGCCAGGGTCACCGGGGTAGGAGCCTGACAAGGGTGGGACTATGTGATCCACTGGCAGCCACCCGTGGAACAGTTGGCCAAGATGCCTAACATTAATCCCTCTTCTGTAGATGAGGGCCCTGAAGCTTAGAGATACTACTCCCATTGCCCGGAGTCATCCCTCATGGCTAGGGACAGAGGTCCCAGGTCTGTGGGCTCCAAGGAACATGCTCTTTGCTGGCAGTACTGGGTCAACCTGATACAGGTGGAGGGTGTCCAGTGAGAGGGGGCAGGTACCAGGAGCCCAGTGTAAACGATGGCTGAGCTTTCAGCCCTCTTTAACCCGGAGGACAGCCTGGCAGTTTCCATAGGGTGAGTCCGTAGGGTGAGTGCTCTCTCTGATGGTTCCACCCAGCAGATCAGTGCCGTGAGGCTGTGTGAGGCTGCAGGCGGCACTGGCTGGCATTGAAGACGAGCTCCAGGCCACAGTCCCAGTGTTTAGCCTCACATTGTAGCCCCAGCTATCCCCCTGGCTTTGTTCCTTCGTCTCGTCAAGTCCAGGGCAGCTTTCATAGCACTGGCCTGCTTGTCCCTCCTCACTGTGTTTGGAATGCCTTCCTACTTAAAAAAAAGAAAAGAAAAGAAAAAAAAAAACTAGTTTATGTTTAGGCTTCCCCTAATCCCGGTGCCAGCCACACTGGGCTGTGACCACTTGGGACTTCTCTGTCTGCCCTTCTCAGTGACCATCTCTTTAGGACCCATCTCTGGCTCCCAGCACCCACAGCCAACAATGGTTGGACAGAGCTGAAAGGTGTTCTCCTGGGGGCTGCCCGGGATCTTGGCATAATGCCCACATGTATCTGCAGGCCAGCAGATGCCAGCAGATATCTCTGGGTGCCCTACCCGAGGCTGGGAAACACGGGGGCACGGAGTCATGCAAGGCTCATGTTCCAACCCAAATTCTTTCCTTGTTTGCTGGGTGACCCTGAGAAAGTCACTTCTCATCTCTGAGCTCAGCCTCCCCTGTGAATCCAGTGCAGATGGGAATAGTCTCTGTTCTGTCCAACTCACCCAGGGTCAGAGTCAGCAGAAACCTGAGGTCAAGAAAGTGCCTCTTTTGGAAGCTGCCACAGTAGGGATCCTTCTCTTAAAGGGGCCTGATTGTAGGACTCTAAGAAAAGGGTTCTCTACACCCAAAAATTCCTCCAGCTGTTGCCTGTATCCCTCCATCTCTCAGGATGCCTGAAATTCTGCTGTCCATCAGTCTTTTGGTGAGGTATTTATTGTTTATATCCAAATGGTCCCCGTTAAAAGATGTCAAATGATCTGGAAAGGGTAATGTATTAGTTGAGGAGCAAAGCCTGCTTTGCCATTAATGAACGTCTCTTTCATGCTTCATTCCCTGGCAGTGGTGTTGAAGGGTAAACAGGTGTGAGCTTTCTGGGGATCAAGTTGGCACTACTTATCAAAAGCCTTAAAAACAGGTGTATTCTTTAATGCAACAACTCTTCTTCTGTAAGTTCATTCTAAGAACATGATGTGTTCAGGGTGCCTGGTGGCTTAGTTGGTTAAGCATCCAACTCTTGGGATCCCTGGGTGGCACAGCGGTTTGGCGCCTGCCTTTGGCTCAGGGCACGATCCTGGAGACCCAGGATCAAGTCCCACGTCGGGCTCCCGGTGCATGGAGCCTGCTTCTCCCTCTGCCTGTGTCTCTGCCTCTCTCTCTCTCTCTCTCTCTCTCTCTCTGACTATCGTAAATAAATAAAAAATTAAAAAAAAAAGCATCCAACTCTTGATTTCAGCTCAGGTCATGATCTCAGGGTCATGAGATCGAGCACCGTGTGGGGCTCCACATTGCACATGGAGCCTGCTTAGGACTCTCCCTCTCTCTCTCTCTCTCCCCCCCTTCACCCTCTGCTCCTCCACTGCCCCCCCAAAAGAACATGATGTGTTCAAAGCTGTATACAACAGGCAGTCTTATTTATAATAGCACAGAACAATAAATAACCTAGATGCCCAAGAATACAGAATAAGCTAAATAATAGTATGTATATGCAATGAAATACCGACTGGCTTAGCTTCATGGTCCTGTAATCCGTGCCGTCACACAGGCCACAACGCACGAAGGGCCCCTCACATAGTTTAATGCTCTGCTGTCACCATCTTAAAATTCCTAATCAGTTTTTTAGAGGAGCCCCTCGTTTTCATTTTGTGCTGGGCCCCACAAATTATGTAGCCCTTTCCTGATATTATGTAACCATTAAAATAAGGCTTATGTAGAATATTTATTGAAGTGGAAAATTGCTTCTATTAAATGAACTAGGATACAAAAAAAATAAATGATGTAATCCCAATTTTTTAGAAACATATATATATACATAGTAAAGGAACAAAAGACAGGACATAAATACATCAAAATGTTAGAGTAATTATCTCTGAGGAAGCAAAATTACAGGTTTTCTTTTTATTACCGTGCTCCTCTTGGAGCGTTTCTTGTATTCTCTCCAGCACTGAGGGCACGACTGTGCTCATTGACTCGACTCTGTCTGGCAGAGACAGAAGCGGGTACGTTGTAACTGGGAGCCAGCAATCCTCTCTGGGCCTCTGGCTGAGTCTGGGGCCCTTGGTGTGCGGGGTGGACTTCTGGATACACACAAAGAGGAGTTCCGTTGATGAGGAAGCCCGGTGTTCTGACAAGCTCCTTGAAGCCGAGGAGTATCTGATTTCTCAGTCCCCACTTCCCTTCACAGGCCTGGCATGGACAAGGCACCCACAGGATGGGCACCTTGTGGCTTGAGTCATTAGTGGTCTTTACCTGCGACACACCTTCATCATCTTCATTATGTTCATCATCAACTTCATTATGTTCTGATTTGGAGGTGGGACCTTCTCTCTGGCTTCCTGCTGGACGTGAGCCCTGAGTGATCTCTAGACCCCAGAAAGGAACGTCCCTGCCTCCAGTCCCCCTGTGCTCCACCTCCCTCAGGCAACAGGCTCCAGGACCAGAGGTCACGTTGATGCCTGCACCCGGCTGGCCCCCACCTGGTGCCTCTGCGCCGCGCTCCAGTGCAGGCTTCATCCAACAGCAGAGGGCAGCAGTCATCCGCAAGCCCAGGAGGAAGAGGAGGGCTTGGGAGAAGGAGGCAGGCAATCCTCCTATAGGGACTGGCCCACTCACTCCATACCCATTTCCCAGATTTCTCCTCCTCTCTTAAATCCTGATTAGGCTGTTGCTGACTGTCTGGAACATGCCCTGGAACACAAGGATCCTACAACCTTCCCTCCATAAAGGCAAGGCCTCTGAGTTCATGGCCTCTGGCCCCCTCCTAGGACAGATGGGAACACTGGGGCCCAGAGAAGGGCTGGACTTGCCTAGAGCCACACGGTGAACAGGGGCAAAGGAAGTTCTAACTGCTGCAGTGGGGAGGCAGGGCTCATAATGTGCAACTGCCACACGTGGAAGGGCTGTTCTTGGAGAAGTGGATAGCTGCAAAGATGGGACATGCTCTCTGCACCGCACATAGGTCCCAGCCAGACCATGAGCTCCTGGACTGTCTTGCCTCTAAGTTCCAATACTCAAGCCCTGTCTTTCCGAGTGAGCCCTTGCCACTCCAACAAGACTGTGGAGTCTCCCATGGGCATAGGCTGAGCCCTGTGGCTTCCCTCCTCCTGCTGTCTTCCCTTCAACATCCCCAGCACCTGGGCAGGGCCCGGAGTGCTCAGGGACGATAAGACCAGCTGATCCACATACCGTAATAACAGCACATGGTGGACAGAGTTAGGCTGCAGATTTTCTGTAACAAAATTGACTTGAGCGCCCCCTGGGTGATCAAGCTTGGGGCTGCCCCTCGCCCAGCCCCCAGGGGCTGCTTGCTCAAGGTTGACCACCATGTTCTTTTGCTTGGCAGACCACCGTGAGCTGGGACGGGGACAAGCTCGAGTGTGTGCAGAAGGGTGAAAAGGAGGGACGTGGCTGGACCCAGTGGATTGAGGGTGACGAGCTGCACCTGGTAGGTTGCTGGGGTCGGGGGTGGAGGGTGGGGGGCAGAGCTGAGCCTGGAGGCTCTGGTGGCTATTGAGGTCTGATGGACCGTAGAAGAATGCCCTATGGCCGGGCCTGCTCGGAAGCTTCTCTTCCAGGGGCCTGGAGAAGATGCTTGAATGACTTTAAAAACTGAACAATGTGTTTGCGAGATCTAGGCCAACTCAGTTGTCCAGTCAGGAAGTGAGGAGGAACATCTGCTAAGCAGCAGATGTGGAGCTAAGTTCTTTTGCATTCCATGCCTCTTTCTGTCCCCTCAGCAACCCAGTGGGCCAGGTACTATTGGGGTTCCTATTTTGGAGATGGGGACCTGGAGGGTCACATCCCAGATACACAGCTAGAAACTGGAAGAACTGAAACTTGCTCCCAAATGATGTCTGTGTCACCATGCCAAGCTGTGGCAGGCTAGAATCAAGGAGAGTCCTTTAAGCTTTTCTAAGACCTCCCTAGGTCAGGTGAGGAGAAGCCCTTCTCAGGTCAGGTGTGGGCCTCCAGCCTGGGAACTCAGGTCAAAGCCACTTCTGCTCCATCCATTGCCTGGGAAAAGCACACAGAAATCTAGAGTAAGGGGCTTAGCCCCTGGAGGCTAAAATAACACATGTCCTCTGAAAGGAGACCTCCCATCACTCCTGCCCCCTTGGAACTCCCGATTACCTTCCTTCTGAGAAAAAAAAAAAAAAAACCTGGTCCAGGTGACCTGGGTTCAACTCCTGACTCACTGGGTACCTTTGAGTAAGCGCCTTCCTTTCCTCAGCCTCATCTACAAAATGCCACCCTACCACATGGCGCTTCTGCAAAGATCAGAGTCCATGGGAGCTCTGGGATGTGTGCGTGCTGAGAAGAGGCATGAGGGCATGATTTTCAGAGATAGCTTCGGCTGATGCGGAGGGCCTGGGCTGTGCCTGACCTGGAACCAGTCTTCTCCCGGGGCCTCTCTTCCTCACCTGCCTAGCAATGAGGGTAGATGCTGTGATCTCCACCGCTCTTTCAGCTCCGAGGCTCTGTGGCTCTGTGCCAGAGGTTGCAAGCTGGGGACCTGGGGCCTCTTTTATTTGGCCATCAGTGAGCTCCAAACTTCTTCAGGCAACGATTTAAAAATTAGGATGTCATATAAATATTCAGATTTCCCGCCTCCTTCAGAAAATAAAACAAGGGACTCCTGAGTGGCTCAGCAGGTGAGCGCCTGCCTTCAGCTCAGGGCATGATCCCGGGGTCCTGGGATCGAGTCCTATATCGGGCTCCTTAGAGGGAGCCTGCTTCTCCCTCTGCCTATTGTCTCTACCTCCCTCTCTCTGTCTCTCATGAATAAGTAAGTAAAATATTTTAAAAACAAACAGACAACACTTCCAAGATGTGGTGACCCTGTGCCGTGATTCCTCCCAGCAACTCGGTAGGGGCTGTCCTGTAGGCAGGGCCTGGGCTTTCTGGGCTGCATTTTACTACTACCTGGGAGCTTTCAATAATAGCAATTCCAGGGCTCCACCCACTGAGACACTGATATAACTGGTCTAGCCTGGGACCCAGGCATTTTCCAAACTCCCCAGGTACTCCAATATGCAGCTGAAGCTTGGAATCTCTGTGCTAACTTGCCGCTTTGGCCTGTGACAGCCTACTGAGTCGTCTGGGAGTCAAGCCGTGTGTCTGGGCCTGATTTCTTCCAAGCCTGGGCACAGACTCTGTCCTGGCCTCAGGCCTGGGGTTCATAAAGCCTTTTGGGCCCCTTGAGCATAGTAGGAGGCGGGGAGCAGCATTTATTTCCCAGCCAACTCTGCCTACAGGGCATAGCAGAGCCCCATCTCCACTGATCCAGTTCAACTGACTTTCCAAGGAATCGGGCTAGTTCAACCCAACTCTTGAGGAAAAATAACAGCCACTGAGTATTTTCAAAGCTCCTGGCCCTGTGCGCACACCAAGTGTGACCTTGCTCTGGCCAGTGACAAGCATCTGCTTTTGTTTCAGGAGATGAGAGTGCAAGGTGTGGTCTGCAAGCAAGTATTCAAGAAGGTACAGTGAAGCCTGAGCACCCCTGGATCTCGAGGAATGAGCAGCATGGACGCATAGGCCAGGATCCCCTTCTTTGTGCAGCATGGGGCCAAAATGTCCAGCCATCCCCCCCAGCATCTGTTAGCAGAGGCTCTCCCTTGGCTTTGTCTCTTTTCTTTTCCTTAAAACAAAGCCATCCCAATAAAAGTGATTTCTCCTCAAGACGTCTGTTTTGAAGAAGCTTCAGTACCCGCCTGTGCTCACTTTTTGTCTGGGGCTTCCGAAGCCAGCTTCTCCTGATGCCACCCCTTGGGCAGGGGAGAAATTCATCCACACACCTGCAGATTTAGTCCTGACATTGAGCCCATAAAGTCTTTCCTCAGGGGCACAGGCTTGGGCTCAGGATGTGTGACTTCACATTCACCATACATGTAATAAGCACCTACCGTGTTACATGTCCATTTGGGATCAAAATGTGGTGAGTGCCACAGAAGCAGCAGAAGATGCCCTCCACCCTGAGAACTTAAAGCCTAGTCAAGGAGATCTGGCCAACAGAGATCCCCAACTCCGCATTGTACACATAGGAGATGCTCTAAAAATTATTTGTAAATGAGATGGAACTGGATAGAATTATAAGCCAAAGCTAGAATGAAGTGAACCTTAATCAAGGGCAATTACCAGTTGGATTTGATTTCAGAGGTGTCATGAGCACATACTTCACCACCCCAAAACCGTTCCCACCTCATCTATGGGCTGATGTAAAGCATTCCTTTTCACTATTATAGAAGAGGCATGACTTGCAAATCCTTCTAGAGGAAGGAAAGCAGCCTCCTGTTCAGACTAAAGTGTAAATGACTGCTAGTGTGCTTTTGCATAAAGGAACACAGGGAGGGGCAGCTGGGTGGCTCAGTGGTCGAGTGTCTGCCTTTGGCTCAGGTTATGATCCCAGGGTCCTGGGATCGAGTCCTGCATCAGGCTCCCTGCAAGGAATCTGCTTCTCCCTCTGCCTATGTCTCTGCCTCTCTCTGTGTCTCTCATGAGTAAATAAAATCCTAAAAAAAAAAAAGAAAAAAAAAAAAGAAAAATTCAGGAAAACTGAAGGGTGAGTGAGGAGATGAAAGACGAGGATAGGGAAGACCACTGGGAAACAGAAGACTTACATCCAGGACCCCTTCAAAGTAATTTCTGCTTAGTCTGTGCTCTGCCCCTTGGAAAGCGTACCCAGGTGGGAGTCAGAGTTGCTGAGTTCAAACTCCAACCCCACTACTCACAGGCCAGCAGCTCACATCTCTGGATCTCACTTCACAAATCAGAAAATCATACTAACCATCTACCTCACCTCCCACCTAGGTGGGTTGTGAAGCTTGGTGACACATAAAACTTATAGACTGGGATGCCTGGGCGGCTCAGCGGTTTAGCACCTGCCTTTGGCCCAGGGCCTGATCTTGGAGACCTGGGATCGAGTCCTACATCGGGCTCCCTGCATGGAGCCTGTTTCTCCCTCTGCCTGCATCTCTGACTCTCTCTCTCTCTCTCCCCCTGGGTCTCTCATGAATAAATAAATAAAATCTTTTAAAAAACAAACAAACAAACTTGTAGACTGCCAGGCTCTAGACCAGTGGCTCTCAGACCTGGCTGAGCACTAGAACCACCTGCGGAGCTTAACGGAATTCCCTACGCCTGGTACACGCCTCAGAACCGGTTACATCAGAGTGTCAACAGGTGGGACCCTGGCACCGGTAGTTTTTAAAGCTCCCCATGTGATTCTAATATGCCAACTCGAGTTGAGAGTCACCACCCCAGACCATTGTTTCTCACCTGAGGGTAATCCAGCCCCTGCCCCGGGGCATTTGGCAATGTCTGGAGACATTTGACTTAACAACTTGGTTGGGGGTGGGGGCTACTGGCATCTACAGGCCAGGGCTACTGCTAAACATCCTACAATGCACAGGACAGCTCCCGCACAGAGAATTGTCGAGCACGATATGGTAACAAAGTTGAGGAACCCTGCCTTAGACACATGTAAGAAAAATTTAATGTTTCTTTATTATCCAGGTCACTTTCCTGCCCTAGGCCAGGGAAATGAAAAACTCGGGATTGCCTAAGATTTTAGGGACGTCTTCACCTATACGCTGGTCTCTGGCCCTGGAAATAGAGCAAAGAACCTTATAAAGGCCATTCAGTCATTACACAAATGTCTAATGAAGGTTTATTCTGTGCCAAACACCGAGTTAGCGTCATAGCTGCTGGGTATCCCAGAGTTCCCCTCCCATCCCACCTCAGGGATCAAGACCTCCGTCAGATCTCCCCCCCAATACGCAAAGGCCTCACCCAACAGTTAGGTTCTGGTGGGGACACACAGCGTGGCCCTGGTAGCATGAGTGTGCATGTGACCTAGGCGCCACGGCCCACCCTTGGGAATCTCTGGTCCCAGAGGGAGACACAGCCCCATTCTGACTGAGGAACTTGACCACCAGGAGGCCCTATTTTAGCCACCAGCGAGTGGGAGGTGGGAGCCACTTGAGGTCCTTGAGCAGGGCGTGGTGGCACCAGCCTTTCAGCAGAACTAACCTGGGAGCCCTTGGTAAGAGGAGAAAAGAAGGAAAACTGCCCGTCGGAGCTGAGCACAGGGCAGCGACCTTTAACTTAAAATTCACTTGGTGGGAGATTAATCTTCCCAGAGAAGTTCATGTGAAGTGGGAGGGTTGTTCTCACCGTGTGTAGGCCCGGAACCTCAGAAGCAGGCCTTTGGCGTCTGTGCAGATTTCGGCGGCCCCCGCACCGTCTCCAGTAGTTTGCACAGGCCTTGCTCCTAAATCGGCGGCGGCGGGTATGTGGGACTTTTTTTTTAATACATTTATTTTTTATTGATGTTCAATTTGCCAACATACAGAATAACACCCAGTGCTCATCCCATCAAGTGCCCCCCTCAGTACCCGTCACCCAGTCACCCCCACCCACCCCCCTCCCCCACCCCCAGTTGGTTTCCCAGAGTTAGGAGTCTCTCCTGTTCTGCCTCCCTCTCTGATATTTCCCACTCATTTTTTCTCCTTTCCCCTTTATTCCCTTTCACTATTTTTTATATTCCCCAAATGAATGAGACCATATAATGTTCGTCCTTCTCCGACTGACTTACTTCACTCAGCATAATACCCTCCAGTTCCATCCACGTTGAAGCAAATGGTGGGTATTTGTCGTTTCTAATGGCTGAGGAATATTCCATTGTATACATAGACCACATCTTCTTTATCCATTCATCTTTCGATGGACACCGAGGCTCCTTCCACAGTTTGGCTATTGTGGACATTGCTGCTAGAAACATCGGGGTGCAGGTGTCCCGGCGTTTCATTGCATCTGTATCTTTGGGGTAAATCCCCAGCAGTGCAATTGCTGGGTCGTAGGGCAGGTCTATTTTTAACTCTTTGAGGAACCTCCACACAGTTTTCCAGAGTGGCTGCACCAGTTCACATTCCCACCAGCAGTGCAGGAGGGTTCCCTTTTCTCCGCATCCTCTCCAACATGTGTGGTTTCCTGCCTTGTTAATTCTCCCCATTCTCACTGGTGTGAGGTGGTATCTCACTGTGGTTTTGATTTGTATTTCCCTGATGGCAAGTGATGCAGAGCATTTTCTCATGTGCGTGTTGGCCACGTCTATGTCTTCCTCTGTGAAATTTCTCTTCATGTCTTTTGCCCATTTCATGTTCGGTATGTGGGATTTTGCAGGATTATTCAGCCTCCTGCGTGGGCTTTTAGCACCTCTCCCCTCCTGTCCAAAGCTACGGACGTTCGCTCCCTTTGTGGAAGGCTACCTGGAGCCCGGCCACTCACCTGCCCCTCGCTCGCCCTTACTACAGGGAGGGGAATGATGCCCCTGCCAGGGGCGCTGGCACTGGACCCACCCAATTTCCCCGGCGTGACAGCAGCCCCGACAGGCCCACGGGACTGACAAAGCACGGAGTGTCGCTCTTTACCAACCCGCCCGGTGCCACTGAGCTTGCAAATCGCTCCAATACGTCTTGCTATTCTTCCCTGGGCCAACTTGAAAAGCTGTTTTCTTTCTTTGTTTTTTTTTTTTTACATTTTTTCGAACTGGAGGGTTACACTTTTGCAAAATACACGCTGCACTAATCCCACCTTCTTAACATGTTGGCATGCCATAACTTCAGGTTTTCTTTTTTTAATATATTTTTAAAGATTTTATTTTATTTATTCGTGAAAGACACAGAGAGACAGACACAGGCAGAGGGAGAAGCAGGCCCCATGCAGGGAGCCCGACGTGGGACTCAATCCCAGGACCCCAGGATCACACCCTGGGCCGAAGGCAGACGCTAAACCGCTGAGCCACCCGGGCTGCCCAGCTTCAGGTTTTCAAAAAGCTAGCCTGGCCCCGCGTGGCCCCTCGGGCAGAAGTGCTGAGGCTGAGCCCGGGGCGACAGGCAGGCCCTCCCGGAGGAGGGGGGCAGTGGGGTGAGGTGGCTGAGCTCCCAACTCTGGAGCCACGTGGCCTGGGTTCAAGTTCCATCTGTGCTACTCCCCAGCTCTGTGCGGTTAAGGCAAGTTGCACAACCTCTCTGTGCCTCAGTTTACTCATCTGTAAATCGGGGCTAACAGGTCGTCATAAATTCTTTGGGAGGATTAAATGAATCTAATCCCTGCAAGCAATTTAGAACAGACACAGTAGCCCCCTTACCCCCGGCTTTCAGTTACCAGCCTTCTTCTGGAATCTTCTAGAAGCACAAGGTTCTTCCTCCTGAGGAATCAGCAGGTCAATAGTAGCTTAAGGCTCCATTCCAGTGCCTGTGCCAATCACCTCAGGACATCTCCTCACCCTCACGTAGGCTTTTTATCGTTTCACGTCATCACGAGGGTGAGTACGTATTATATAATGTTTTGAGAGACCACATTCACATTACTTTTATTATAGTATTGTCATAATTCTTCTATTTTATTATTAGTTATTATTAGTTATTAGTCATTATTTTATTATTAGTTATTATTGGTTATTAATGTCTTCCCCTGCCCAATTTATAAATTAAACTTTATTGTAGGCATGTCTGTATAGGAGAAAATATACAGCATATAAAGGGTTTGGTACTATCCACAATTTCAGGCATCCCCTGGGGATCTTGGAACGTATCCCCCACGGATAAAGGGGACTACCGTATATATTTTATTTACAGAGATTTGAACAGTCTCTGGCATACAACAAGCCAATTTATATGTG